CTCTGCACACCCAGCGGGTTCGCTGCGCACCGGAGGGCTTGAGCCTGTGGTCACTGGCCGCCGCGGGGGACGCAGCGCCCCTCGGGCTCCCTCCCGGCGGACTGGTTCGTGGCCAGGCGGATGAGTTTCCCCGGCCGGGCCGGGCCGCTCCGCCCAGCGTAGATAGCCCAGCGCCGACTCTGGCCCCGCAGGAGAGGACATCAGGGAGCTGTTCCTGGAGCTGGCCCTGTCCTCCAAGGGCGAGAACATCTTGACCTTGTCCTACCCCATCTGTGAGGAGGACCTGCCCCAGTTCTCCTTCTGCGGCCGCAGGAAAGGGGGTGAGTGGCCCGGAGAGGGGGTGTGGGCCGGGAAAGGGGGTGCGCGGGCTGGGGAGGGGGGTTGTGAGTGGCCGGGAAAGGGGACATGAGGGCCGGGAAAGGGGTGAGTGGCCGGGAAAGGGTCAGGAAATGGGGCGCAGGCCAGGAAAGGGGGCGTGGCCCGCAGAAGGGGGAGCGGCAGGGAAGGGGCCCACCAGCAGTAGCTGTCCTGGGCCCCGACTGCTCGCCCCCGGGGTGGGGCTCTGCTGTCCCGCTGACCCAGCAGGGGACAGCCAGGGAGGTCACCCGCGGTGGGGGGGCCTTGTCCACCACCCCAGTGGCCACCCCCAGCCCTGGCCCTGCGTGGGTCCCGCTGGGCGCCCCTCGCCTGGCCGCGTGGGACTGGCCGTCTCCTGGGGTGGAGCAGCACGGGGCACCCCTTCATCGCCCTCCGTCGCCCCACTTCCTGTCTGCAGAGCAGATCTACTACGCCGGCCCCGTGGGCAACCCCTACTTTGAGGTCCCCAAGGTGAGCTGCTTCCTCCCTGCTGCGGCAGGGGCTGGGGGAGCCAGGGGCTTGCCGCTCGCGGGGTCTCTGAGAGCCCTGTCCCTGCGGGGTCCTCAGTGCTAGCTCCGCCTCGGGGCGTCCGGTGCTGCTGTCCGCTGGGTCCTCGGGGGCCGGCGGACTCCATGCTGGGCTGGGGCGGTGGGGGTGAGGGCAGGCACCGCCCCCACACCGGGGAGCACACCGCCACTCCACTGCCCAGAGACCCCTCCGGCCTGCGGTCCGGCTCCTTCCCAGGCTGCCGGGCGAGTCAGGCCCAGCTGGGGGCACACGGCTCTGTGGCCAGGACCCAGGCCCGGGCTGCTGGCCGCCTGTGGCTGCCCCTGGCCGCCCCGGCCGGGCGCGGGGCTCTGGGGGTTCACAGCCCAGCCACAACGGGCCCCCCATTCACCTGTGCCGCCCTGGCCTGGGCGCCCAGCCTTGCCCACCGGGCAAGTGTCGGGCCCCGCGGCGGTCAGCAGGGCCGGCCACTGCCCAGGGAAGCCGCTCGCTGCCACGGCCCTCCCCCGACGCCGGTGGCCCTGCGCCCCGGCGGCCACCCACCAGCCCCCAGGCGCGGCCCTCCCCTGCCCGCACGGGGCTGACCCCCGGTCACGCATCCCTTCCAGGGCGAGTACGAGGTGCTGCTGCGGCTGCATGACCGGGCCGGCGCCGAGGTGGCCTGCGCCAACGGCACGGTCCTCGGGCTCTGAGCCGGCCCCGCCGGGGCAGCCGCTGACCGCAGGGGTGGCCGTGCGCTCGCCCAGGGGCCGCTGGGGCCGGGCTCCCGCCCCCTCGCAGACATCACACGCCCCAAGGCGAGCAGCGTAGGGAGGCCGGGGGGTCACGGGCAGGGGCGGGGCTGCGGCCTCCTGGGGCCCCACTGGACGGTCCTGCGGTCCGCTGGCCGAGCCATGGCCAGGGAGACCTCAGGCCAGGCCGAGGGCCGGGAGACTCGTCTTCTTGACATAAACGGTGTCCTGAGCGCATCAGTGTTTGTCGACGACTTATTTGTGCTACAACAGCTGGGTGCAGGCCGGAGGTGGGGGTGCAAGGGCGCCCCAGAGACAGAGCGGGGAGCAGAACAGGCGGAGCCCCGAGACCCACAGCTGAGCGGCAGCGGGGGGTGGGGGGTCTTCTGCACCCGGGGGGCCCCTTCTGCGCCCTGGCCGGGGTAGACGTGGGTCACGGCGGCCGGGACGGCCCACGGGCTGGGACTGCCCCTGCACCCCGGGGCGCCCCTGTACATATAAAACCAAGCAAAAGCGCACCCACAAGGGGAGAGAGAACTGGCGGGGAGCTGGAGCAGCCATCTTGGCCCCCACTGCCTGCCAGGGGGTGGACGCCTGGCCGGGGTCACTCCTCGCCCATGGCATCCCCTGCAGTGGGCAGGAAGGGAGACGCAGCCATCGCTGCGAATCTGGGGTGCCTGGGGCTTAGGGTCACGCACAGAGGCAGAGTCGGGGTGCACGGGGTCCCCAGTGCCGGGTCCAGGAGGCATCTGGGCTCGGTGACCAGGGGGAGCCCCAGCCGCCGACCTCAAAGAAACCCCAGTTCTGCTGTGAGGACGCCCCCAAAGCCGAGCAGACGGGAGTCCCCTGCCCCTCCGCGGACCCCACTCCCGTGAACCCCCGGGGTGCCGGGTGCAGCTGGCGGCCTGGCCCGTCCCTCGTTCCAGCACGGGCCTGGGCTCCCACGGGGGACTGTCCTCACGTGCCCCCCGTCGCCTTCTGCCGGGACCTGCGAGCCCCATGTGGGGGCTCGAGGTCAGCGTCGGTGGGTGCCCACGCTGGCTCCGGGGCGGCCTTGGAGCGGTCAGGAGGCCGCGGGCAGCCCTGCCAGGCCCCGGAGGACAGCCCCGTGCAGGGCCACAGCTGTGTCTGCAGCGTCGCTGCTGCGAGGTGAAGTCTGCGAGCGGACACTGAAGCTCGGTCCCCCGCACAGCCCCCAGACAGGTCAAGGGCAAAGCAGGAGGTCAGCTGCCTTCAAGGTCGCTGGACACTTTTGCAGTTCATCATCTCAGCCAGCAGGTGGCAGCAGGACCAAGGAGCCAGCCCCGTGCCTGCAGTTCACAAGTTGTGCCAGCAGGTGGCAGCAGTGTCCAAGGCGACACCCCTCCACCCCGTCTGCACCCCCTGTCCCCCCCAGCCGGTTCCTGGACCTAATCAGATGCTTACGCAAGCGGTTTCCTCCGCCAGGCTCCAGGCCCAACGGCAACCGGCCTCATCCTGCAGATAAAGGATGTTTGTGCAGGCGGGAGCCCAGACCCCCGCCAGGGCAGAGCTTCCTTGAGGATTTCTGGGGCGGCCTCCCCCTCCCGCTGCCAGGGCGCCCCTCCCTCCTGCCCCTCGTCAAGCCCCCTCCGGGGCGGGTGAGAGGCAGGTGTGGGAGAGGCGCACGGAGCCGCACTGCAGGGGCCCCGGGCAGAGGGTGTGTGCGCAAGGCAGGAAGCTGAGCAGCAGCTGTGGGGGCTGAGGCTGACCCTGCTGACCCCGCTCGCCCCACATCCCTAGTCACTCCCCCCCCCCAGTCACAGTCTGCCAACGCCTCCAGCCAGCAGCTCCCGGCGGCGCCTCTAGTGACCCAGCCCTCTGTCCTCCCCAGGAGGGGCGGCGGGACTCCCTGCCTGGACACCCTCGTGTGCGCGCCTGTGTCCTCACTGCACGTGGCAAGGGCGGGGTCCGGACTGTGGCCCCCGCTGGGCCTTGTGTTTGGGGGAAGCGGCCACGGGGCGCAGGGGAGGAGGCCGGCGCAGGCCCGAGGGCTGTCCACGGGGCGCCTGGATGGGGCTCAGACTCCGGGCTCTGGCAGGACCCTGGGCGGGCAGTGGCTCACCGAGCAGGGCGGAGGTGCCAGGACCAGGAGGATGGGCTGGGCGGGCTCTGCCCAGCCCCCAGCACCCGCTCTCTGGGGCCCCAGGTTGGGGGAGCCCCGGGGGTTTGGGGGGAAGCGAGGGCCTGGCCCCGGGCACAGCCGAGACTGCCCAGCCACCCGCCCCGCCCACTGGGCAGGAGCCTGGAGCCCGCAGTGGGGCAGTGGGCTGGGCCACGGGTGTCTCTCTGCGACCCTGCTTTCAGCACCTCTGCGCCCCGCCCGCCCCGGGTGGCCTGCCACACCTGGCTTCCATCCCGGCCGGTCTGGGGGGGCGGCGCCCCAGCCCGCGCTTCTGGGGCTGCTCGTGCTCCGGCAGCCGCGGGTCCTGCAGGGCCCCGCGGGCGTCTCAGCTCGGCCTTGATGGAGCCCACGCGGGAGGGAGGATGGGGGTGGCTCTGTCCCTGGGGGCGTCGGCGGTTGCGCCCACCTGCTCCTGCAAGCCCTCCCTGCCCAGGGCGCGCTGCAGTCGCCCCGAGCGGAGCCCCAGAGCTGGGGTGCCGGGTCCCCTCCCTGCCCCCTTCCCCGGGCCACGCTCAGCCAGGGGAGAGTGCGACCTCGCCAGCCAGCGCCTCGGCCCTGCTGCCCGCCTCGGCGGGCCTGTCCAGCGGCGCTGTCCGCAGGGCAGCTGGGCAGTGGCCCGGAGCTGGGCCCCCCAGAGCTGGGCACCCCTGAGCTGGGCTCCCCTGAGCTGGGTCACCCCTAGCTGGGCCCCTCTCTGAACTGTGTCACCCCTGAGTTGTGCACCCCCAAGCTGGGTCCCCCTGAGATGGGTCTCCCTGAGCTGGGCCCCCCTCAACTGGGCTCCCCTGAGCTGGGCCCCTCTGAGCTGAGCCCCTCTGAACTGGGTCCCCCCTGAGCTGGGCCCCCCTGAGCTGAGCCCCTCTGAACTGGGTCCCCCCTGAGCTGGGTTCCCCTGAGCTGAGCCCCTCTGAACTGGGTACCCCCTGAGTTGTGCACTCCTGAACTTGGATGCTTCAAGCTGGGTATCCCTGAGCTGGGCCGCCCTGAGCTTGGTACCCCCAAGCTGGGCCCCCCAAGCCCAGCCCCCCTGTGACCTGGGTCTCCCGAGGTAGCCCCCCTCCCTGAGCTGCGGCCCCCCGAGCCGAGTCTCGCAGGCTGTTGTGCTTCGGGCAGAAGGCAGAGCCGCTGGGTCCAGGCCCCTCCTGGGGTGCATCTGGGGAGCTCAGCACTGTCCGGGAGAGCTGCCCGCGCCTGCCCAGCGGGTCGGGCCCCAGGAGGGGCTGAGGCTGGGGAGAGCTAGAGTCTTGTGCTGTGTGAGTCCCAGCCCTGGGCAGGGTGGTCCAGCTGCAGATGGTGAATGGTGCTTCTGGGGGAGCCCTGTGGTGCTCCCCGGAGGCCCAGCGGACGGTGCTCCCGGGGGTCTCTGTGGTGCTCCC